TTTTTTTTTTTTTTTTTTTTTTTTTATACTTATAAATATTAATATAAGCCGGCTTTTTCGCTGCTTTTTGTGGTTTCGTTCTCTTTTTTTTTCTTTTTCTGTTTTTTCTTTGCTCTGTGTACTTTTGCGTATTTATTTTTTGTGTTTATTATTTTTTAATTGTTTTTTTAATTGTTTTTTTTATTATTATTTTAATTATTATTTTAATATATTGTTTGTGTTGCTTTCTCTATTTGTGGTTACGTGGTGCGTGTTCGTTGTTTCTGCTGCTACTTCTCTCTCATCTCTACCACCAGGCAAGAAAGAAATATATATATATATATATATATATATATATATATATATATATATATATATATATATATATATATGTATATATATATATATATATATATATCGTGAGGTGTACGTACACTCCGGCAGGTGCACAAGCCGCAGCTCAAGCGGCCGCCTCGTGACGACGCCATCGCCTCTAGGTAAGAAATCAACGCCAACGATAGCTTCTAGCACAGAACTTTTCCCTAAAAAATAAATATAAATAAAAAAAATAAACAAATATAAAAATAATAAACAAAAATAAATAAAAAAAATAAAAAAAAAATTAAAAATAAAACTCTTTAGTCCGAGAAAATATCATATTCAACTTTTTTTTTCAACAGCCAGAAAAAACGCAAACAACAGAAACTACAAAAAAATATTATTTTTTTATATTTATATTTATTTTTATTTTTATTTATATATTTATTATATATTTATATTATATTATACACACCTGCAGACTGAGTACCCAACACACAAATACGAGGAAGTTGAATCCATTGCTGCACGCCGCAATCGCGGAGTTCATCCTGCAGCAGAGCAGCAACCACCGAAAACCCTAAACCCTAAACCCTAAACCCTAAACCCTAAACCCTAAACCCTGAAGAGAGAGGATAAGGCTGGTAATTCTCAGAGGATTTGCATGCAGATGGAGCTTGCATGTACACAAAAAAAACACAAACACTCAATGGCGTGCTGGGGGCCCCCCCAACTGCACCGCAGCAGTAAAGAGAAAGGAAATTCAGCTGTCTGTACACCCCGAGCAAATCCTCAGTACTTCTACCCACAACCTCTCGAGAAAAGAAACAGAATATATCTGTACGAGGAGTGAGCAGGGGCCCCCCGATCGCCCCCAATGAATATATTATTTACAACATAAGAAAGCAGCAGCTCAGCTGCTGCTGGGTGTTTTATGGGCGTGTCTGAGGTGTATAGACAGCTGCATGCATAAAGATTACAGTGAATACAATAAAAAAAGAAGAAAAGAAAGAAGAAGAGGCGTGCGGTGTCTCACCACCACATTGATTAGCTTGCGGAGCTGATGATACATCTGCGACTCAAGCTTACTGCCATCACCGCTGGCGGTGCTGGCGGTCTCGGAGGTAACTTGTGGCCCATTGAGGTGTTCCATCGCAGAAGAAAGAAAAAGAAAAAGAAAATATTATGAAAATTAAAAAAAAAAGAAAAAAAAAGAAAAAAAAAGAACAAACAGGCGCTGCGCTGCCGCGCGATCTGAATGCGGCTGAGGAGCAGCAAGAAACCCCGAGATTCTGCGCCAAATAAAAAAAGAAAATTAAAAAAAAAAGAAGTTTATGAATTTATATTTAAATATATATTTTAATGATGACACAAAGAAGAAGTATACAGTTTTTTTTGTTGCGGCTGCGGTCGGTAGTAGTAGTAGTAAACACAAAGAGGAAGCTGGTAAGCTGAAACAAGAAAACGAAACGAAAAAGCAAATATCTGCATAATTCTTTTTGCTTTTTAGAATTAAACAGAAAAATATAAATTATTTTATTTTATCCTGACATATTTGTTGAATGAAAAAGATGAATATACTACAACACCACCGAAGCGGTTGTTTTGTTCGTTTCGCAGAGCAGAGCACAGCAGCACAGGCGAGGCGGCTACTACTACCGCCCCCCATCATCCTCGTATTTTTGTTTGTGTCTACATAAAAAAAACTTTGCTTTTAATTTAAATTTAATATTTATTTCATACAGAATATTCATATTCATCGGCTTTTCACTGCGCCATTTATATATACTCTCTTCTTGCAGCTACGCCGCCGCGCCCAGGCAACAACAGCCTGCTGCTCAGTGCATACATACACCTGAATACAGAGAAAGCTGCGACATTTGGTTATATATTTTTATTTATTTATCAAAATTCATGTGATCTCCCTCTCACTAAAAAATAAACACCAAGAGAAACCCACCACAGTAACCAATTCAACTTTCTCTCGCTGCAGTGTACATGCAGCATTCATTGTCTTGTTCATGTATACACAGGAACACTCACTTCGTCTGTATATACAGCCTGTTAGTAAGTATACAAGTTCAATAAGTGTATACAGAGGTAATGGATGCGGCAGAGAAGGCTCGGTTATGCTTGCATGCGAAGCTCACTAGCATCATATGTTGCTGCTATACAACTCACCTCAGGCTGCGTGCTCTGCTGCAGCAGCTGCAGCAGCAGACCCTTCTCGCTGCTCCAGTGAAGCCTGGAGATAGAGGACAGGGCTCAGCAACTTGTAGGGGACTATCACCGCCAGAAAAGTTTTTTGAGTTCATTGCAACTCACGACGATACCCCGATCAGAACGATAATCATTGTTACAGTGCTTCTCCTCTCTACGCTGCGCTTTCATATTTCTGTTGCCTCACTGGATCCCTAACTCTATCCCTGCATCCTCTTTCTAGCCCCTTCTTCTCTCCTGGCAGCTAGCAGTATCTCATATGTAGCATGGTCTGGCTCAGGGTAACACAGAAACACTTGTACTTGCTTACAGCAAAACTATCTCGGTCTAACAAGTGCTCAGTAAGTGTTTACAGTCGTAAAGCACGCAGTAAAGAAGGCTTCGTTGTGCTCGCATGCGAGGCTGGCTTGCATCGCCAGCTGTAGTGAGGTGCTCAGGCGGCCGGCTCCCCACAAACCTGAACAGCTGCCCCCAGAATGCCTGGATACGGGGGAGAGAGAAAGCACTTCCTTTTGCAAGGATCTTAGGTTAAGTTATGGGCTTCATTGCAGCTCGCTTCAGTCCTTGAACAAGGCTGAGAAGCATGCGCTCTATCGTAACAGTGCTAAAACTGTTGGGCGCCCGCGAGAGAGACTTCTCTGTCTCAGCTGAGGAGCATCGTGAATGGCAGTGCACTCGAAATACTTTGGGGAAAAGTTTTCTAAGGCAGCTGAGTTCCCCCTCCAACCTCCAGGTCTCCTGGGGACAGCTCACGAACGGCATGGGGCTGGAGCGATGAGGAGGGAGCCTTGCGTGAGTTGCAACAGTTCCTGCAGCCCCCCGTGGTGCACGGCGACACTACATGAAGTACACCAAGTCGGTCTGACGCCTGTGTTACCGCCGAATGGAATTTCTCAACAGTTGATTGGCCCTCAGGAGCCAGACAGCACGCATGCACCAATACCAGCACAAACATCAGACAGACCATGCTCCATCTCCCCCAGGCAACGCGCGCGCCCGTACGCCTAGTCACACAGAAGCGGATTAGGACACTGACGGGAGGAGAACTGTAGCAATCTCAGCGCGATAAGAGCTGTCCTCGTGGATCTGCAGTTTGATATCGTTGAAGAGCTATTCTAAGGAAAGGCAAAACTCAACCTTCTATTAGAGCCTTTGGGGGCCATCGTTGCTATCGACGAAGAAGGCCAGCGGCTGGAGCATGTGAGTCGAGTTAAAGCCTCTTAACAATATTACAGCGAAGAAGAAGTTTCAGATGGCGGAGAATGGCGAGCAGTTTCCCCACTGGCATCTTTGAGATCTCTAGTTTTCGTCTGGGTGCTCTGACGCGTCTGTGCATACTCCATTACATCACAAGAGCAGGCATAAGACACAATTAGGCAACCTTACTGGCAAATTAGAGTATTTCTTTATACAGCTTATATATCAGCAATTTACCTTCCTAGTTAGAGCAATCCACGTACGGGAGCTGGGTGGTTATATGCATGGATGAGATTCGTGGGGTCAGCGGAGATGTGCAAGAGCAGTTGCACAAACTGCCGCGCAAGCTGCAACTGGAGAATGAGAAGAACTTGTTTACAATAGCACAAAGGGATCGGGGTTACATGCCAGCAAGTATACTGATGCCAGTTCTGGCATTTTATCTTTGCAGCAGTTTGAACGCAGTTGACGAACGCAGTGGGGGGGCGGCCTGTTCTCGCGTTGCCCAACCGTCCAGTCTTTTTGCTCCCCAACTGCACGTATATGCGGTGGGTTATTCACGTTGCCTTTCTAAATTCAGTTCGGCTCACTCCCTAGTTTCTCCTGCGGTTCCCAGCAACGAAAACAGGGTGAGCAGTACAACGTAGAAGCAGTACAGGCTTGACAATGATCTCTTGTGGTACCAGACGAAGAAGAGAGCCCGCCGAGAATACTCTCCACTCATACAAGCGTCCTGCGCGAAGAGCCCGAGCGTCCTTTAGTACCAAGATAAGGTCAATACAGGAGTGGTATGGGCAACCAGAACCCTTTTGTAGCCTGGGGTGAGCCCTTCAGCAGCTGATGATGTTCTCACGTTTCTCAGCAACAACAACAACAAGCACAGAACGCCTCCACACCGGTTTCTTGCAGAGTCTTCCGACTCACAAAGGAATCAACGAGGATATTCCAATGGACTTCACTGCGGGTTTTTTCCGTCATTGAGACGCTGAGATAGTATTCACTTCGTTGTGGAGGGACTTAACAAATTCGCGCAGTGTATGCGTTGCTCGAGTTGTGTGACAGCGGAGGCAGAGGCCAAGCTGTTTACTAATTATTTCTGATACCTCCTCGGCTCTCTGAATTACGCAATCACTGGCAAAAGGCTGTAGTTTTCTGCTCATTCACTGCATGGATTAGAGAAGCTGTGTATTCCCAAGCATAATATAAACACCGCTACTGCTGGCGCTCTTATGCTCTGCGGCAGAGCTTCAATAGATGGAGGTACCGCTGATGCAGCCCAAAGAGGA